CTCTATCTTTCATGGTTCAAAAGTTATAGTGAAGGTTCAAAAAGCTATTTTTAGCATATGACACAGTCAAGGTCACAAGGTCATTGACCTTGGTGTCATTTAAAAGATCTTGATTAGTGATGTATGCATACCAAATATGAAGTCTCTATCTTTCATGGTTCAAAAGTTATAGTGAAGGTTCAAAAAAGCTATTTTTAGCATATGACACAGTCAAGGTCACAAGGTCATTGTTCTTGGTGTCATTTAAAGAACTTGATTAGTGATGTATGCATACCAAATATGAAGTCTCTATCTTTAATGGTTCAAAAGTTATAGTGAAGGTTCAAAAAAGCTATTTTTAGCATATGACACAGTCAAGGTCACAAGGTCATTGACCTTGGTGTCATTTAAAAGATCTTGATTAGTGATGTAAGCATACCAAATATGAAGTCTCTATCTTCCATGGTTCAAAAGTTATGGTGAAGGTTAAAAAAAAAGCTATTTTTAGCATTTAAGACACAGTCAAGGTCACAAGGTCATTGACCTTGGTGTCATTTGAAAGAGCTTTATTAGTGGAGTATGCATGTCAAATATTAAGTCTCTATCTTTAATGGTTCAAAAGTTATGGCGAAGGTTAAAGTTTGCAATAAAACCTCTACTTTTAGCATATAGGTCACAGTCAAGGTCACAAGGTCATTGACCTTGGTGTCATTTGGAAGAGCTTCATTAGTAGATTAAGCATACCAAATATGAAGTCTCTATCATTCATGGTTCAAAAGTTATGGCGAAGGTTAAAGTTTGCAGACAAACAGACAAACAGACAGACAGACAGACAGACAGACAGACAGACAGGACAAAAACAATATACGCCTCGGATCTTTCGATCCGGGCGCATAAAAACACGTAGATTTGATGGTAGCCCTGTTTGCAGATGGAAAAAATCAGAAATGCCATGTAGGTACCCTCTTCATGGAGTCAGCTAATGGGACAGGTAATGTTTAACACCTAGCTCCTGCTAAATATTTTTTCATGTGAACAAATACCTGATTTTTTTTTTTACGATTTTTTTTCTATATAGAATTATCTAGTGAAAACAATTACCGGTGTGTATTTTCCCACACCGGATGGAAAGTTTTCTCTTCAGATACAAAAAAGAAGTTACGTGGCAGGCACTAATACGCTTCCGTATAGAACACATTTTGTGGTTTGCATCAGTATCAAGCAGTTGGTAAAGAATGAATAATGCCACTTATTTTGAAAATGATAAAAATTAAAAACAGAGATCTTTTTTAAACATATTAATGAGGTAATAACATACTTGAAAAAGGTGGTGCTACGTCCAATCATAAACCTCCTATTATACACCATATAACAATAAAAGTTTTCACAAAACAGGATGCAGAAGGACAAAAAGATTATGCAATACGTTTACCAAAACAACATGACAATCCACCTACTGTAAACAGTTATCTTAATATATTTTGTCAACTTATGTTATGCGTCCGGAGAAACGATGCTCTTTAATCACACCATCGCTTCCCCCAACTCGCGTGAAGTAATGATTTGTCTTAATAGGGCTTCCAATTGTAGAGGGATTCGATCTTCAAGATATTTTGGTACTGCCTCTTCCCCCGAAAATTTTTTAACACTATGTGAAAAACAAAAACATCCCCTCTACCTCACACGGTCAGAAAAAATCAGCCAGAAAAGTTGTGAGAGATACATATAAAGATATTTGGCCTTGTCGTGATTTGAATTTTGCTGTTTAAGTATTTTTTTTTCAAATATTTAAATTTAATTACTTTTGCATAAATAATATTTGAGAGTGTTACTTTTATCTGTATACTATGGTGTTCTGCAGATTTCAATCATTTCGCCCGGTCCATTAAATCAAAATTATTACCGGTATAAGTCATTCTATGTCTAAATATATCATATCAAAAGAATTTGATGCATTAGCAATGGAATTTAAACAAACAGAAAAGGGGGGTTGAGATCTTTCACCATGCCAAGAAAACCTTTGCAGTCTGTCCGAAGAGCGGACTCAATAAAAGCCGAATTAATGTTAATCTGTGAAACTCCCCCGAGAGATTTTGGCGATGCTATTAATGTCAGCAGTTATGAGGGAGGGATCTTAAGTTTTACTGGGTTTAAAACATAGGTACAAAACTAATTATTTAGAAGCCTTTGCACCCCTCCTTTTTTTGGGGGGTCATATTTTTCAAATACTGTCAAAAAAAAAAGTAAATTAAAATAAAAGAAAGTTAAAAATTATTAATTATAGTAAACTAATTTGTCAGTAGAATTATGCTGTCTTTCAATTTTTTACGTATTTCCATGTAGTTTTTTTTTCCTGAGCATAAATTAACGTCGGGTACGATGAACTTGGTAGTTGTGGAAGTACCGCGCGTCGAATTATGGGAAAAAGGGTACCAGATTCCCGGAAGTTGACATCATTTCCTGGTTAAACAAGAGGGGAGAGGAGTACTAAATGGGTAGAGGTATCACACCGGTAATTGACCAATCAAAATGAACTTAGTCAAATGTAGGTCCATACATATAAAATTGATTTTCCTTTCTTTTGAGACGTTTTTCTATTCTCTTCCAAGCCATTTTTACAACTTTGGTACCTGTGACTAGTAAATTTTATGTACTTTTTGAACAAATAAAGGTTTTTGACACTCAGGAACTATTTTTTTCCCGGGAATAGGAGGCTACTTCCTGCGGTACACTCGGAATGTTTATAAACACATTGAAAACACGTGGATTTGAGGGTAGCCCTGTTTGCAGATGGAAAAAGTCAGAAAATGCCGTGTAGGTACCGTTTTGTGTGTGAGAGTGTGTCAGCTAGTGTGACAGGTAATGTTTAACACCTCCTGCTTGATATTTTTTCAAGTAAACAAATACCAGATTTTGTTTTACGACTTTTTATTCTATATGGAATTTTATAGTGAAAACAATAACCGGTGTGACGCAACCTGATTGGCTATGTTAATATTTTCATTTTAATGTAAAAATATCACTGATAGAAATAAATGGTGGAATATATCAAGTTTATTTAAGCTGAAAACCTATGACCCCCCCCCCCCCTTAAAATCGAAATCTGCTGCCGTAAATTGTCTTGCTAGCGTTTGGGGAATATGGGTGATATGCATCAATTACACTTTTATTGACTTCATCAGTGCGTAAACCGGACGAAATTTCTTGGCATGTGCATCCAACGTGAAAATGGATACTATTTTCAATTTAAGGCTCAGAGCACAGCGCAAAGCGCTTATAGATGGTTACATACTCTATTAATGTTACCCCTATTTCACTTACTAGACAAGTAGAATCAGTTCAGAACATATTTTTTCTTTACAAAAAAATGTTTGGGATGGATGTGATTTTTTAATTAATTTTATTTAAAAATATATATAATAACATTGTAATAATCAAATCAATGAATACACAAACCACAATTGAGAGATAGAGAAAGATTTACCTCTCTTGACGATTTGAACATCTTCACGGATACTGGTTATATTTTTCTCGAGTCTTTTCAACGTCTGTCTGAGGGAATCTAAAGATTCTTGGATCCACCCTTGTTGGATCAAAAGTTTTCGAATAAGCATCATTGCCTCTTCATTTCTGTCACAGAGATTGTTTTCTTCCACATAAATGTGCTGGGAACTGGTACATAAGAATCCAGAAATGATGAACGCTGCCATCACCATTGCCATGGTTTAACTTTCGTGCTGTTGTCTTAACGGAAGCGTGTCTGGGATTTATTGTTTCTTGAACATAGCTACTTTATATTTATACAAACCTGAACAGGAAAGTTTAAAATTTAACCAATGAAATAATTTTGTACTGTTACCCATAAAACGCCACTAAAATGTTCAGTAAAAATGTTTTCAACCAGGTTTCTATATTAATGTCGCCATATATTTTATAATTAAGGCCTACCGTTTCCAACGGAAGACCTTTTACTGATTCTGATGATATTAAGATTATTCTTATTTTTTTTTTTTTTTTTTTTTTTTTTTTGCTTCCTAGACGCCAACTTTGGCGCTTCATATCTTTCTCATTCCTGAACGGATTTTGTTCAAATTTCAAAAGCACTGAAGTTGTGCACTTCGGATTTTGCTTACTGTTTTTGGCATTAAAAATGGCGCTAGAGAGGGATCAAAAATTAGAACGCGGAAAACAATAAAAAAATTTGACATATTTTCCGTTATATCTTGAAAACTATATATCTTAAAAACTAAAAAATATTTTGTTAAGACATGTAGAATAGAAGTTGTGCATAATTGCAGGGGCTTTCATATAAAACTATTCAAAAGGGGCTGGCCCTAGTTTTTGCTTTATAACTCGAAAACGGTAAATATTTCGAGCTGGATCTTACGAAAAAATTATTCTTTTACACCTTTTTGATATGATGAAAATGTTTTGTTCGAGTATACCGGTGGTATTGCGTAATACGTAATCGAAAGCAGGCCAGGTAAACAGGTAGCGTTTTTCATTCGACAAGGAAATCATACCTATTCATGTGTATAACTTAAACAATATTCCTATCAATAATATACCCTACGATATTTAATGTTAATTTTCTTCTAAAATGGGTTTAAAACGTGCTTTATGGTTCACTTAATTTATTACAACTAGTCTTTCTTTTTTTATTTTATTAGTTTTATAAGTTAACACGTCTTCATAAACGGAAGATATTAAATCTATCTTTCTACGTTCATTATTATAACAAACTATATAAGTAATTTTAAACCTTATGCATCGAATAATTCACGATTATTAGCTGTATACATTTTACGATCTCCATGTTCACCTAGATGTTTACAGCTAAACAACCCACAACGCGCTAATCCCACGCTGCCGATCGAGGTCACCATTGTACCAGCCACCTGTGCCTGTGGTCATAAACACAGCAAGTGTTTGTGATTGTGTTTAGAATCCATTGTGTACAAAGGACTATCAGTTAATAGAAAATTGTGTTTTTAGCTCTACTGGTCAGAGACCAGAAGAGCTTATGCGATAGTAATGCGTCCGGCGTCCGTCCGTCCGTCTAGCTGTTCTTACGAGAGGTACATTGTGGGGTAAAATTAACGTATTTTCCAGCAGTGTGGGGTTTTTTGGGTACTGTGGGGTTAACCCCATAATGAAGAGGTCTAATTACGTTCAAAATTACTCTATGAGGTCGAAAAACCTAAAATTAGATTTAACCTCACAAAGACTTTGTCCAAATTTTGGACATGTCCTTAGCCCAAAACGCTCAGACATTCAGAAATCTGCTGTTTAGAGGAGTTCGGTAATTGAATCGAGGAGTTCCGAATACCTGAGCATGCGCATATATTTAAAACTAACTGCGCATGCGCAGATTACGGAAGTAGCTGTGTTTGGACACTTTGTATTAGCAGTGAGGAAATTCGGAAACACAAAAAGCAAATGCAGTAAGTCTTACTATTTTGTTGCACCACATTGAAAAAAAGCTTTGTAAATTGTTTGACATGCTTCATACGTACATTATGCAGTTGTAGAATTTATTTAAAGTCAAGGAAAGGACATCTGTAGTCCACATAAACACATACCTATTGAAAACGGGCTTTTGTGAAAAAAAATATAATGAATGCACTGATAGTTCCTTTTTTTAATCAGAGGTCTGCAATGAAAATCGACCGATACCCGGGGGTCGGGCTAGTGGTTTTCTGCATGAAGGTCGCCCCGTTGGCCAGTAAAAAAAAGATAATATTATTTATACACATGCAATACGTGCAAAGCACACCTGGTACGTATTTTCACTCGTTTTTTGCTATAAAAATCCAAACCATTTAAATTTTCCATATAACATGCTCCAACTGTCAATAAATCTCCATAATTTAATCCGTATTTGAGTACTACTTGGCTTATTTACTTCAAAAAACGATCGTGTTTTTTCTTAATTCGAATTTTCTCTATATCTATGGTAAATACATGCAGATATCTCATAACATAAATACATGTGATTCTTCCGACGGGAGAAAAAATCTCTGGATTTTTCACGCCTGTTCCGCCCCTCCCGATTAATTTTTAAATCTTCCGTGTTTAAATTTTTTCAAATTGAATATTTTTGGCTTTAATTTTATCCTGTTTCGTAGTATAATTGCTCTCTCTCTCTCTCTCTCTCTCTCTCTCTCTCTCTCTCTCTCTCTGAATTCATTATAGATACGTACCAATTGTTTATCTACTCTTCACACATTTGTTTACATGTACTTGTAATCGTACCTTAATCTATAGAGAGAAAATCAGAATGGAAAAATGGAATTAACAATGTCACTGCAATAAATTTTCACAGCAAGTAGGCTTTGTAGGAATCAACATGGGGTTGTATAATTAGGTTGTAAAATTTAGTGGTATATCAATTTGAAAAATGACAATCAATGTTTATAAATGAGTGCAGGACATTTTAATCAGTTGTTAAAATACCCATTATGTCACATTTTTTTCACATTCGCTTGTGTAATTATGTGCCCGATAATAAAATTCACCTATTAAAGAAATTAAACAAATTACCTTTAGATACGTATATAAAATTATATAACTCTGTTTGTGTTAATGGAAAAAATATAATTGTCATGTAAGATCAATTTGTACTTATTTTTCAAGATCGACGATTGAAAATTTAAAAGAATTAAATCACAATTAATAGTTTTTCCATAGCTAAACTTAAAGAAATTCAAGCTTAAAGCTACATTTTGTAATTTACAATATTAATTCATCATTACTTTGAATATTTACAGTGAGAGTATGTGACTTAGCTAATACAGGGCTATCAGTATTTTCACACCTGTTAGATTTTGATTCCGTGTAGAAGCTCTAATTGCAATTTTTGTCAAAACAAATGTTTTGTATAGCATGATTATCTCGTGAATTTCACTATCAGGAGACGATCGATAGGGATTAGTTACGCTCTACTGCACTTGACACCTGTGTTGTGTAGAATGATTTTAAACTGCGTAAATACAAATCTTTGGTCAATTGAATAATTTTGTGTGTGTGTGTGCATGTTAGATAGAAATTCTGACAGCTTTATAAAAATAATATTAAAAATTTACCAGACTCTAAAAGCTTCAGCAAACTAGTTGATCGAGGATTAATTGAAGGGGGGGGGGGGGGGGTTACACTGCTGATCATTACCTGAACATATGATAGTGAAGTTTTTAAATGGATTTTATTGACACTTACTAAAATAAATTTTCATACTTTTAATTCACCATTAAACTGTCTTTTAATTAAAGCTTGTGTATTTTTTCTTATTAAAAAAATAGATAGTAGTAAGGCACATGTATTTCTTCTTGAATGATACTGTAATTCAATTATCATATATTTGAATGTAACAAAAGAACACTCTGAGTTCCCGAAACTAGTCAAAAATATGTCGGACAATTGTCTTGTAAATATTCAAAATTCACCGGACAGTTGTAAAATTTACCTGACATTAATTTTTTGTATGTAAATTTAACATATTATAGGATTGGAAATTGTGTCGATATAATAAATAATATGTGTAAATAAAAAGATGGCAAATGCAGATTTAAAAAAAAAAAATGATTAAAATATTTTCTATAAGGCCTGTGTATGCAGGATTTGACGTCGCCGACGGCGTGTGATGACCAACGCTTAATTCATCGTATAAAATTATTATGTCCTTTCTGACAGATTTTTAAAAAAATTTTTTAAAATAAAATTTGCAACATGACAACTCTTGGTTGATTGTTTGGAATTAGTGGGAAATATATGTTGTTTTCCAGGCTTTTTTCTTTTGGATTTAGGATTTTGGTATTTTATGTGCCAGGAAAAATATTACGTAAAATATCAAACTCGTTTTAAAAAGCCTGGAAAACGTCCGATATTTCTGACTAGTTAAAATTTATTATATAACCTCCACACAGTTAAAAATATGTACTAATGATATAAAGATATGCAAATTTATCATGAAAATGATGATTTAAGTGAATTTGTTGTCGTTTTACTACATTCAAGTCAGTCCGCTATTTTTAGAAAAGGGGAAAAACGCGCATGTATTTTAAATGCTATCAAATACATTAAAAAAAATCCAGAAGTTGGTTTAATATTATCATGCTAATAGATTAAATTATAGAGAAAATAATAAATGGTAACAAATTGTCTGTAATCAAGCAGAAATAGCAGGCAACTCTTGCAACCCTGCAAATTCGTCCTTCAAAACGAAAGTAGATTGTCACATTTTTTTACTGTCAGAACTACAGAGTGCATATATTTATCAGAGGGAAAATATTTGTTTGACAGTGTTTTTAAAACTGTTTTTCCTCCCAGACTTATGGAAATTATTATTTTAATATGTAGCTTTTTATAGTAGACAATTTTACACATTTTATTTAAACAAGATCTGGCGCGCCCCTGACGTTTTTTTCATTCCTTTAGTTTTGCATTTGTTTATTGTCAGGACAATTGAATTAAATGATTTTGTTAAGATTATATGTAAAAGTTATACAGTCTGTAAAAAAAAATCATCAGACATTTTGACCGATAAAATTAAGATTTTACAAAGTTTACGGGGATCCCTAGTGGACCGGTGCGTTTCGGGAACTCTGAACACTTATGAATGTATGAAGTTTAACTGTTTTGTAGGAACAGAAACCCCTAGGCTGAAAATGAAGTGCATGCTCCAATTTGCAAGTGGACCAGGGAACTCTGAACACTTGGATGAATGTATGAAGTTTAACTGTTTTGTAGGAACAGAAACAATTTCATGCACAAAACCTTAAAAATTTGGAATTCTTAAATAAAATTAAAGTTGACTTATTTTTTTTAAAATAAATAGCATGGGTTAATATATATATATATATATATACACACATACAAAGGTTTTGTGAAATTGACATGTTTAATTAAATCAACTGTAGTGGTTATTTTTTTGCTGATTAATATATATATTATTGAAATTTGTTTAATTAAACAACGACTGGCTACTTCTTTGGCAAACTGGAATAAGAGGCCACCTGGCTAGTTTCTGGACTTCCCAAAGCTTAAAACAAGTTTGACTGTACTTTTTCACCTTTTACCAATATAAGAAAGTAGTTCACAGTACATGACAACTATGCTATAAATAAATTTCGATGAATTTTAATTAGTAACTCGGAATTTTTGTGTGTGTTATAAATAAACATTTGCTTCTGTATTCCTTTGTAGAGTTCAGAAACCACTGAAAGTGAACATCAGTGGAACTTTGATGATCTAGGCCACTCTATTGTTGCAGCAACACCAGCAGGCGTCGGACATTTATAAAGTTGAAAGAACAAACCTATGACTTGAACACACAATTTGTGATCTGAATATAGTTCACAAATTTAAGGAAAGCAACTATTAAAGACATCCAGATCGGTGGTTAGTACATGTTATAAGTGCCCATAAAATCAAGACAACAATATTATTTTACAATAAATTAAAACATAACCTGTAAAAAAAAATTCAACATTATCATTTAGAAATATTTTACTGTTGGAAAATATCAAAGATATTTTTTTTTTTGACAGGTATACATGAAGTATGAGTTAAAGGCTTTTCAGAAGAACAAGCACAATCCCGATTCATTTTTGCCATTGCCTTCTCCAAACGGCGACATTCAGGACCTGACTTACTTTTCAGAAAAAGAAGATGAATCGATTTTTGAAAGTTAATCTAAAAAGATAACATTTACATGGGTCGTGGATTTGAATTACATTTTCTTGATGGGCAACTAGTTTCAAGTATTTGGATGTCTATTCTCAAGTTACTGCAAACCTTAAATTAACTTCTTGATTATTAGTTAAATGTGAGACCGTGTTAACTTGAAGTAATCATTTTTTGAATTGAGCTATATGTAATCTCTGATTACATATGTTTATGAGTAGTGTTCAGCTTTAAGACAAAAGGATCTTTTATGAACATTGCATTCGGCATGGCGAATTTCTATACATTAACAGTCATAGTTTTCGTCTTTTTTAATTAGCGATCTCATTTTAAATGTGAGAAATAATTATTAAACTGAAATGTACATTTATGTTGTTTGATTTTAATTTTTTGAAAATTATAAATCAATTGCATGTTGGTTTTTTTTTTCATTTTATTTTAGGGGATGGGAGTGGGGGTGCAGCTCTAAGTTTGAGTATATTTTCCAAAAGGATGTACATCGTTATTTTTGTTTTAAGATCAATTTTAAAATGCAAAATGATGAGATATTAGACTACACTTTTTTTCTTAAAACTTCATTTTAATTAATATATTTTGTTTAAAATAAGTAGCAATAACATGCACGTTTTAAAGTTATTTGACAACTCACTATATACTTGTTTTTTTTTTTTTTACATCTATGAAGATTGTCTCAAATTTTGAGGTTTTTTTTCTGTGTTCTACATTTATTGACATGTTTCTTATCTGTGTTCAACTTGTCGAGTAACTGAAAAGTTTGATTAAATTTTTTTTTAAAAATCAGGATCATCTCTTTTATTTATTATTATTAATTTACAATGAAATTATGTATGCTTTTGATGCATAATGTACACTTCAAATTCATGCACCAGCAGATTCAAAGGAAAAATTATCATTAGAAATAAGCAGTAAAGATAAAGAGATTATCCAATTTAAAATAGTTTGAAAAATATTTAAAACAAATTTTCGAGTATGTTATCAAAATAGGAAAAAGTATTATGAGTATTGTTTGGTATTTTTAATAGTAAAAAAAGGATATGACGTACTGGCAATCGCATCATCTCACTCAGGGTCTTTCCGTCAGAGTTCGGAAAAACAACCTCGAATGTATTAACATCACCTGATGTTAAAGGTTTAGCTTTTCTTGTTTTTTTTTTCAAATATAGGATAGAGGAAGTAAGAAGTCCCTTTTATAATATATTTTATGTAATATCATAGCATTGAATAAAGTTAAACTCCATATTCCACAGATAAAAGGTCTTCATGCATTTATTTCGAAGATCATGAAAGGGGGGGGGGTTGTTGCCATGGCGTCTAACTAATACATTCGAGGTCGTTTGTCAGCTAGTCAGAAAGGCTCGAGAAGTTGCGATTGAACATAGTGGGGGTACTTGTTCTTTTATTACCAGTCCCTGGTATAGTTTTTTGATATAAGAACATACTTGGGGTTTTCAAACACTTAAATTCATATGGTTACTGGTATCTGTTACATGAGAACACAGCGGGGTTGTTTGTTTAACACTCTGAGGTTACTAAGATGTCTGATATTTTCTATCAGAACATATTGTGGTTCTTGTCTAACACTTTGTGGGGTTAATGTTATCTTTTATCTATATAAGAACAAAATGGGGTTGTTACACGTTATGGGGTTAGTGTTGTCTATTATCTTTATGAGAGTACATAGTGGGGTTGTTGTCCTAACACTTTATGGGGTTAGTGTTGCCTACTATCTTTATGAGAGTACATAGTGGGGTTGCTATCCAAACACTTTATGGGGTTAATGTTGTCTGTTATCTTTATGAGAGTACATTGTGGGGTTGCTGTCCAAACACTTTATGGGGTTAGTGTTGTCTATTATCTTTATAAGAGTACTTAGTGGGGTTGTTGTCCTAACACTTTATGGGGTTAGTGTTGTCTATTATCTTTATGAGAGTACATAGTGGGGTTGCTGTCCAAACGCTTAATGGGGTTAGTGTTGTCTATTATCTTTATGAGAGTACATAGTGGGGTTGCTGTCCAAACACTTTATGGGGTTAGTGTTGTCTGTTATCTTTATGAGAGTACATAGTGGGGTTGCTGTCCAAACACTTTATGGGGTTAGTGTTGTCTATTATCTTTATGAGAGTACATAGTGGGGTTGCTGTCCAAACACTTTATGGGGTTAGTGTTGTCTATTATCTTTATAACAGTACATAGTGGGGTTGCTGACCAAACACTTTATGGGGTTAGTGCTGTCTATTATCTTTATGAGAGTACATAGTGGGGTTGCTGTCCAAACGCTTAATGGGGTTAGTGTTGTCTATTATCTTTATGAGAGTACATAGTGGGGTTGCTGTCCAAACACTTTATGGGGTTAGTGTTGTCTGTTATCTTTATGAGAGTACATAGTGGGGTTGCTGTCCAAACACTTTATGGGGTTAGTGTTGTCTATTATCTTTATAACAGTACATAGTGGGGTTGCTGACCAAACACTTTATGGGGTTACTGTTGTCTATTATCTTTATAACAGTACATAGTGGGATTGCTGACCAAACACTTTATGGGGTTAGTGTTGTCTATTATCTTTATGAGAGTACATAGTGGGGTTGCTGTCCAAACGCTTAATGGGGTTAGTGTTGTCTATTATCTTTTTAAGAGCACATACTGGGGTTGTTTGTCTTATAATTTATGGGGTTAGTGTTGTCTGTTATATCTATATAGCATAGTGGGGTTGTTTGTTTAACACTTCTGGGATATTCTTGTCTATCATCTTCATGTGAAAACATAATGGGTTAATTTAGTTTGATGCAACAGTTATCCTCAAATAAAAACATTTTTTGCATTGTTACTGCAATGCAGTTGTTGAAAAATGTCATTGCTATATCCGTTCTAAGTTCTTCTGATAAACAGTAACAATTTTAAGTTCTTATAATTAGTTGCCTGTGAAGTTGACTTAATATTAAATAATTAATTTTTAACCCCACAAACATAGATCTTTAACCCCAAAAACACAGATCTTTAACCCCACAAATATAGACCTTTAACCCCACAATATACCATTTGTTTGAATTCCTAATGAAACCTCTCAAGTCACCACTCTACTATTAATAACCCCACAAAGCAAAATGTTAACCCCGCACCTTCCGTAAAATGCACAATGTACCTCTCAACTGTATAGCTGTCTGTCTGTCTGTAAACAATTTTTCAAAATGCTACTCCTTCTACAGTTTGAGTCTGATTTCAGTATAACTTGGCACACAAGTAGACTACAATAAGATACATAATTCTGTGCATCAATTTTTGATTTCGATGAACGGTGTTGCTGTGGTTACTAAAAATAGAAATTTCTGTGAAATTCTTTCAAAATGCTACTCCTCCTACAGTTTTGGTCTGATTTCAATAAAACTTGACACAAAAGTAGACTACACTAAGATACATAATTCTGTGTATCGGTTTTGGATTTCGATGAACGGTGTTGCCATGGTTACAAAAAATAGAAATTTTATGAAATTCTTTCAAAATGCTACGTCTCCTACAGTTTAGGTCTGATTTCAGTATAACTTGGCACACAATACTACACTAAGATACACAATTCTATATATCTGTTTTTGACTTCGATGAACAATATTGCTTTGGTTACTAAAAATAGAAATTTCTGTTAAATACTCTCAAAATGCTACTCCAAATACATGAAGTTTTAGTCTGATTATAATATAATGTGACATGTAGGTAGACTTCACTAAGAACATAAAGAGACTTAATCAAGGATCTTTATTCTATTTATTGCAGTGGTAAAGTTTCAATTCCCAACTGCTTAAGTACTTTTCTCTTCCTTTGCTATACCCGGTAAGTACAAACCAGTAGAGCTTCAGTCTCGACAGAGACTTCTGGTTAATTATATCGAATCAATAAGATTACTTCACCGATCCTATATTAAATCGTTATTCCAAACACTGGTGCATACATGTAAAATCATTTTGAATTGTGAACGCTTTCTTTGGCCTGTTCAAGCAAAATTAAATATATATATATTTTTTATCTCTATTCTGTGTAAATGTATTTCATTTCAATTGTAATTAAAAAGGGGCTTCGGCAAATAATTATAATTAGTGATTGAAGTCTTGTGATAGATACTATATGTACGTTTTATTTTTACCATCACTCTTTTGTTTCTCCAATTTATTATTTTTTTTTTGATATTAAATAAACATTAAACATAAAAAAATACTTTTAAAATATACCATTATTCACGTATTTGTAATATATCAAACAGTTTACATCCAGCTCTGTCGCTTTGTGTTTAAAATTCTGTAGCCCAGTCCTCGTTTACAAGCACGTGGCCGCATGCAGAGAGCAGCGGGCATGTCGATTGACTGATTGATTTTATACTGTTTAACGTCCCTCTCCAGAATATTTCATTGATATGGAGACGTCACCATTGCTCGTGAAGGGCTGCAAATTTAGGCCTATGTTCGGCACTTACGGCCTTTGAGCAGGGAGGGATCTTTATCGTGCCACACCTGCTGTGACACGGGGCCTCGGTTTATACGGTCTCATCCGGGCATGTCGATGTAAAAATCCATTGTGTACTCTGATGGTTACAAATGGAAAATTGGGTTTGAAATCATGTCTACTCCTTTCATATCATATAATTTCACTCTATTTCAGCTTGTTTAAATCAATCGTAATCGCTTGTGCATTTATTCAAGTTTAATGCCTTTCACTCTTAAAAAAGTTTTACTTAGTAGTCATTTTTTACTTGAAATAACAAAGATAAGTAATAGATAATTACTAAGCATTTACTTAAAATTTTAAATCAATTACTGAAATATATATCAATTACTAAATTCAAATGTTTTACGTGATTTTTGTATTTTAAAGAATTGTTTTACTTACACACTAAAAAGTTTTACTTAGTAATTTATATTTACTTAAATTTGTGTATATAAGTAATAACATTACTTGGTTTTTACTTACATTTTACCACTATTTACTATATAGCTTATATTTTTTTGCCCCCGTAAACGAAGTTTCGGGGGTATATAGTTTTTGTAGTGTCCGTCTGTCTGTCTCTCTGTTTGTCTGTTTGTCCGCACAAACTTTAACCTTGCCCATATCTTTTGATTTAGCAGAGCTATGACTTGCATATTAATTTTCACGTCTATTCCTTTTGACAAGACCTTTCTTTGAGTATCACCAATTTGACCTTTTGACCTTGACGTTGGAGTTTGACCCACTTTTACAAATTCCAAACTTGATCTTTAACAGTAAATACCAGGACATTAATACGTCACATATATATTCTTTGTTGAAAGACCTTTCATGGGATACCAACAACCATGACCATTTGACATTGACTTTGGAGATTTCAATCTATGTGAAAAAACTTTAACCTTGGCCATTACTTTTGAACGATAAGGGATAGGGCTTTCACACTTACAAATATGTAATTCCTGTGAGAAGACCATTAATTGGATACCAAGAACTTTGACCCTTTGACATCGACCTTGGAAATTGACCCACTTTTAAAAAGCAAACCTTGACTTTAACTTTAAAAGGGTTAGGGTAAGTGCATTCATACTTTACATATTTCATTCTTGTGACAAGACCTTTCTTTGGGTACCACTTAATCTGACCCTTTGTGAATTGTCCTTGACCTTGGAGTTTGATCTACATTTCAAAATTGGTAACCTTGACCATAACTTCTGAAGGATTGGGGCTAGTGCTTTCATATTTCAGATATGTATTTTTTTTGTGGCAGGACCTTTCATTAGATACCAATAACATTGACCATTTGACCTTGACCTTTGAGATATCAAGAAATACCAATATATTGAATTTGCATATAAGAAAAGTTTAACCTTTGCTATGTTGCCATACGGGGGAGGGGGGGATCAGTGTTTCACAAACACATCTTGTTTAAATTGTATTTAATTGACTTACTTAAAACAATAATTTATTTACTGAATCAAGGAGAATTCAAAGCAGTTGTAATACAAATAATTACTTAAAAATGGTAGTCTAATCACTATCAGGATTGAATTCTTGAAATGTAATATATAACTTTGGCTTCCATCTTAATTGTCTGTGAGAAGGAGTTATCTTTCTTCTAAATATTCCTTCATATGAAAAAAAAGTCATACTAATTAAAATGTTGTATTAAGTATTTGAAACTTTGAACCATTTTTAAAATGGTCCTTAAAAAGATACAACTTATTCAATTGATAAGGCTTTTAATACTGGGATTAAATGTTTTACTGTTAAATATAATAAAACAATTACAAAGAAATTGGCAAAACAAATAGAAAGTATTGTTACCATTCCATGTAGATCTCATCTAATTGATTACTCAGAAAGCTCAATTAGGAAACTGTGATTAGTCTTACATTTTATACTTTCATAGTTACATGTATCTCCTTCATCAGAGGGTTGATAACTTGCAGTTTTTCTAGTAAATAATGCTGATTTTAGTAAATATGATAAGTATTTTATTTACTTAGTATTCTCTTAAGTAATAATATTCTAGATTTTAATTAATTTCAGAATTACATTTACTTAGTAATAATTCATAAAATCTAGTAAACAGAAAGCATATTATCTCTAAATTAAGTAATAATAATTTACTAAAAATGAGTAGTTCATTTACTAAGTAATATAATTCCTATTACGTAGTGATACTTAGTAAATCATTTTATAAGTAAATGAATTCATCCTTATTACTAATTATCTTGGATAGACGCAATAAATCAAAGACAAATTTTTTATGGGTTTTCTAATTTATTTGGCGCTTTTGGGCACGGCTGAATAATATAACAACATATTATTTAGGGCCTCCAAGCAACGGGTAGGCCCAGCAACAACAACAACAACATTTCAGTTCAACAACAACATTTCAGTACAACATCAACATATCAGGTGACCTTGACCCTGGGAGATGCAGAGGTCAAGGTCAACAACATTTCAGTATATCAACATATCAGGTGACCTTGACCCCTGGAGATGCAGAGGCCAAGGTCAAATAATAAAAAGTTGCAGTGCAACAATAATATTGACACATCCACGACTCTGGGAGGTGCAGAAGACAAGGAAGAAAATAAAATATTTAGAATAATAATCACACATCCATGACTCTGGGAGGTGCAGAAGGCAAGGAAGAAAATAAAAATAAAATAGT